GGGGGGTGTCAACTTCCAAAAGAGAACACTGTCATCTTGTTGTCTTTGGATTCCATAAACACCAGCGGAAGTACCTGGTGCCGAGTCAGCGTTTTCTGCTTAGATCTATAGGTCTATTACAGATTTACCACATAACTTCGAAATCCAAATACATCAGAACAAGAGCCACTGAGTCCAATCACAAACTGAGCAACATGTCTTTCTGTTCGTGTTTTTTCCTTCCCAGCATTCCGTCGGAGTGTCCTATCCCCTCAGCAGGTCCCCCAAAAGCCCCAACGAAGCACAGCGTTTTTCCTCATGTCCTTCCTTCCCTTCTCCTAATATCCTCAGAGTCCTCCTGAATCTCAGCTGGACAATAGGCTACTCCTACTACAGCACATTGCTGGAATCTGCCTCCATATTGAATACGTCATCCTCTCTGTCATCAGTGGACCTGCACAGAAAACAGAGTCGAACTCAAGCATCCACACTACTTCCAAAGAATATAAAATTATAAGGTAAAAAAAATAAAAAATTCCAAATGTCTTTTAACAATCACCTTGCATTTTCAAAGAAACTAGTCTAAAATTACAGTTCCAGGTAAGTCAGAATGAATTAATAAGGGAGGCTTTTCACTAGGAACCGATTAAAAATAAAACTACTTTTTTTTTTCTTTAATGACGGTATACAACCTCACAAAAATCGTTCACCAACCACCTTTGTTAAGATGATTATTTGACAGGGGTTCAGTTGCTTTTCTCAATAATTAAACACCACAATAATTAATATCAATATGAACCTATAAATAAATTAAAGGCGTCCAGTGAATTAACACATTGCTGATTGTGTGATACAAAGTTCAAAGTTTAAGGCGGGTAACGGAATCACCCCTTTCCTCCTCCCTCCCCCTTACAAACTACACCCACACATACAGGAGTACACGTGAACTATTTCTGTACACATTGGGCATCAAAAGAAAAGCATAAGCACACCATGATACACATATAGCAACAAAAAACAAACCCACAAAGAAAACGTAACAAAAGTCTAGGATAAAAAAAATAAAATAAAAACACAACCATAAAGATTATAATTTTTATATCCCGTGTCACTTTCTTGTGCTGGGGAGACCTGATCTATGAACTGATGTTTCAAAAGAATAGATTAGTTTTGATTTAACTTCTTCAGTTCTCTTCGGATGTAGCTACTGTTTTTTAGTCACATGAAGTGAACATGATCTTACTGTATGTGTTCGTTCTCATTCTAAAGCCTTCGGGGCCAGGGTTAACTGAACCCCGGTTTAACCTTAAAAGAGAGATTCTTATCCAATCATTGTTCACCTTTCTGCGAGCTATCGACTGGTGCTTCTGAACCCCTTCACTTTGCCTCACTCAAGGTTTTAACATTTTTTAACCCCGAAAAAGGAAATGTTTACTCTTGATTTACGGTATTTACCTTGATTAATTTGAATGATATCCCAACATAACCTCATCCGTATCTTAGACCTTAAAGATAACTCCAATGAGATGTCTTTTCAATATCATAAAACGACTTTTTGTTACTGTATTATCAGTTTTTCAGCTCTTATGTTAAGATATTATATTCTATCCAAATTCGAGTCTTACCTGTTTCCATCAGAACTGCACATTTTCCGAAGTTCTTGTGAGATCCAATCCTTTAGATTTCCATATACAAATTCTTCTACAGATTCATCAGCACCGATGACATCCATATTGAGATCTTGGACAGCGCCATAAGGGTCATCTGGAGCCTCTATCTGCTGGCGTGGATCTGCACATTGACATGGACAATTAAAAAAAAAAAGTAACACGATAGCAAGCACTAAGCTGGGATATGTCCGTGGAGTTTGGTGGATGTATCCATTTGATAAAGGCATAGAGGCCTTCGAATATTTGTAGTATTAAAACATTCATGTGGCTTTTGATTTATTTAGACATTTTCGGAACACATTTTATATACAAATGTACATTCTAACTATAAGAGAGAGAGAGAGAGAGA